ATTCTACAAGATACCTATACAAATTGATTAATTATCATAGTAAATAATACAATAAATCAAAAGTTAATGAAGCCTTGTACTAACCAAGAATAAACGCTCTTGAGATGAGTTAGTTTAAATATGCATCTATCTTATTTTATATTTAAAGTAATTACAATGTAGAAAAATATTATTTCAAAGTCAATGATACCAACATAATTATTTTTAATAACATATATTAATTATAGTATAATATTTTGCGCAACGCGCGGATATTCACCTAGTATCTTATAAAGGAGGTCATTCAAATTAATATTGTTGAAGATAACTCATATATCTTGAACCATATTCATTTGAAACCTCCAAACTATTCAAGTTATTCTAATTAATTGATATATTAATTGAAATATGTTACATATATAAGACAATTATTTCTCATGTTTTGTTACCTATACTTGCTTTCTTTCTCTTTCAAATTTTGTTATGTAGAATACATAAAAATGGAGAAAAATATTGTAGTTTTCATATGTCTAAAAAAAAAGAGTTCAATGATAAAATACGTTGGGGTGATACGATTTTCTTTGGGTATATCAAAGATTTAAATAATCAAGCAATTTGATTTATTTAAAGAGAATAATATCAGATATTAAAAGTCAAGTAAATGATACAACCTCTCAGGTTTCTTTCCTTATTTTTTTATTTTTTTAAATATTTTTTCCATGATAGTTTTATGTTTCATATATTATAAATATATACTATAAATGCATCGTTTTGATCAATTATAGACGCGAAAGATCTTAGAGCTACCAACAATCAACATTGATGTATATTTCATGATTTTTTGACCTTTTTTTTTTTAATTGTAAGAGTATTGTTTCCTAATCAATTAAGTATTTGGTCAATTGTAGTATAATATTTTAATTATAGCGGAAAGGGTTAGAAAGGTTAGGGTTATTTGCATAACGAATCGTAGTTACTATTATGGATATATTTTAGCCCTTGTAAATTGTTGAATATTTATGATTTGACATTTCATATATATATCATTTTTTATTAAAATATTTAATTTGAATGATTCTATTTTCTGACATAACGTGAATAAACATTGGAATAGTAAGATATTGAAATGAATATTAAATGTTAATTTAGATATTATATTAGCTAATTTTGAAAATAAAAACTTTTTCGATCATATACATAAAATACCTTTTTATGTTTTTTCTATATAAAAAACATTTTGATTTAAAAATATTTTAAAAAAACCACTAATGACAAGTAGAAACAAATTAGTATTTGAATATAGCTTTAAAGAAAATTTGGTTTGCACATAATTTTGAGTTTTGTTGCATTAGTAGTATGACCGATAATGTTCTATGAAAATTCAATTGACGTTATTTTCAAAAGAAAAAAAACACTCAAATGAAATGCAAAAGAAAAAAAATAATAGTGAGTTTGTAAAATAAAAAATCTAAACCAATGTTTTTAGCTGTAAATATGTCATTTCATTTATTAGTAAATATATATTATATATATATCTTATATTATATATTATATATATATATATAAAAATTTTCGTAAACTCAATAAGAAGGCTACATCATCGCCTATTTTTATTGTTATTTTATTTATTGTATTTATCATTAAATTGTTATAATATAGATAACTAACATGTTTTTTTGTTATAACTTTCAATATACAAAGTTTATATAAATCAGAATATATACCATTGAGACCCTATAACTTTATCAACTTTATCAACATTATGATGTGAACTTAACATTATGTGAACTTTTATTACAATCTCACATGAATACATGATGCATTTAATATATATATTTTTTTATCAAAATATGGTAGACTATGTTACTAGAAATAATTTTTCCTATGTTTCCTATCCAGAACAAATATACGTTAATTTTTGGCTTGTATTGAGAAATATGTATTTTTATATATTTTAAATAACGAATCATTTTCAACAAACGAAACTCGCGGGGTTTAATTTTAATTCTTGTTTTATATTACACTTTAGGAAGTAGAACTTTATACATTAAACAATTATCTGCAAATAATTAGTTTTTATTTTAACTATATTTACACACTTAATACGTTGTTGATATAAACTTTTTTCCACAACTCTTTTAACTGTATAACTGTTTTGCTGCATAACGCGCTGGATTACGCCTAATGGGTGGGGTGTGTGTGTATATAATATATATATATATATATATATTATATATATATATTATGATAGAGAGAGAGAGAGAGAGAGAGAATGAGAGAAAAGGGGGGATGGGGGGAGTATATACAAAAAAATTATAAAATTCCACTTTGATTGTTAAAAGGTAAAATTTTTGTAACTTTAACAGTCAATTTTGTAATTAATCCTGAATGCAACTCAAAACCTGCTATACTAGGTTTAAAGTCTAATTTAGCATGTTCAAATCTTTTGTGACTAAATCAAACCAAAATTGAGACTTTGTGGTCATTTTAGTCTAAATCCTAATATCTAAAACAATGACCTTGCTTTAGTGTTATTATCTAAAATATCCAAACCTAAAAAACGAATAGGATTGTTAAGAGACGATTTTTTTAAAATTTAGATTAAAGACCCAAATTTAATAATTTTCCTAATTCATTCTAAAAAAATTATGCGTATAATTATATTTACAAAGTTACATTAATAGTCCCAAACGTGAGCCATTTATCTGGACAAAAAACAAATATTGTTTGAAATTATATATATATATATATATATATATATATATATATAATATATATATATATATATATATATATATATATATATATATAACCCGAATCTAAGATTGCAAAGTTACAAAGTGTAATAACACTTTCAAAGACGTCAATTTAAAAAAAATACAATTCAAAGACGTTGACTTAAAATTTAAAAACAAACAATATATATAAATATTTATATTTAATATGATATTAATGAATTAAAATTAAAAACAAAAATAACTTGTTTTTCATACGAATACATTATTAACCCTAGATATTTTAGGAACGTTGTTATTTATCACTTAAAACTTACAACCTGATTCAAAATCAATAATACAGAGAGTATAAAGTGAAGACGATGAAGACAGAGTATTCAAAAGAATAAACGTACCTGATCTTGAAGATCTAATTTTGAAGAGAAAAGAAGACGTGGAGAATAACAGAAAACAGTGAAATTGGCGAAGATGACGGCAACAATAGAGGACGGAGGTTCGGAGAGTAGTATGAACGGGTGCCAGTCAGGGACTCAAAGAGTCAACAACAGGTGCAAGGCTAAGAAGATGGTGAAATCGGATACTTGGGAATGACAACTGAGAGGGATTAGTGAAGTATGTTCTAAAAGATCAAAATAATGAGTTTTTGTCCCTAATTTCGTAGATATTTACAACTGATTCGTGATATATTGTTTCCTGATTTTCATAGTTTTTGTGAGATTTCTTTCCAAATTTAAAAAAAAACAATCGTCCCTAATCTTGTACATTTTTATATTTGTTTATCATCTGTATGCATGATAGCACTAAATATCAGCATCGTATCGTCAATATTATGAAGAATAAATCTCGATTTTGTACTTGAGTATGATCACGATCACAACATTTTCCCTCAAAATCCCTGAGTAATTTCCAATCAAATCGCTATAAAATCGTTTTCATGTGACAAATTACATAATCCATCAGCAAAAGCTTCAACGCAAGTTTCGATTTTCACCAGGGGCATCATAATAAGAATTTCTTGACATCTATGTTTGTGTGATAATGCATTTGCATCACTTATTTGGTTATTTTAAAATCCTTTAACATTAATGATATCATCTTTATTAACCCTTATGAACTAATCCTATCAAAATATAAAAGAGCTTTGAGTTTAATGTGAAAGAATCACATGTGGTTGGAAACAATGGGGATTCAAAGGCTGAATCTCAATCACCTAAAGAAGAATTAGCTGAGGTCAGCAACCAGGTAACCGAGGTCAGCCAAGTAATCTCTGATTCTATTTCTGTTGATACTACTATCTCCAATTCTGAAAAGAATGAACTAAAGGATAATGTAATTGCTGATGATGTGAAATCAGAGGTAGATGTTAAGCCTGAAATGGTCTTAGATGATAACAAATCAGATACCAATGTATGCTTGTTAGGGAAGAAGAAAGAGATACAGTTGGCGATACATCTGTCAAATATCATGGAAAATGGGAACTCAGACATATGATGTTCGGTGGAAATAAAGTAGGTTGTTATGTATCCATCATTTTTTTGGGGTTGTCTCTTTATAAAGTATGATGTACTTACATGGGTAGATTGGTCATTTTATCCTAATTCCATAGGAAAGATAGATTTTCATAATTTAAACTGATATTTTGGTTAAAGTTTGATTGATTGACTTAAATTTGAGTTGTACCATTTGTTAGTCATTTTATCTGTTGCACATGGTTTATTTTCATATGTTTTGAAGCTTATGAATGAATTTGAAAACATGGATCTGATTCGTTAGTGTAAAGGACACTTTAGGGAATGATAATTGCAGCCTTAGAGATGATGAAATTTTAGTTACATATATGTATTCTTTATTTTTTTGTAATAATGTTATGTTTCCATAATGAACCAAAAAATGAAAAGCATTTGTATAAGAACTGTTATTTTTTTTTTGGTTATATGTTATATCTAAGCATGCTAACTGTTTCGATTAATGCCTCCATGTTTCCTTTGCTTTATCTGAAAAGTTAATTTTTTATTAAAAATCTAAGAGTTCAGGAAATCACTTAGATAACATGCAATGCTACTGAAATTGTCTTCAATTTGCTGGATTCTTAGTTGCTACATGGTGTTCTTTTAACTATGGGAATTTGAGTTAGAGATGATGAAATTTTAGTTACATATATGTATTCTTTATTTTTTTGTAATAATGTTATGTTTCCATAATGAACCAAAAAATGAAAAGCATTTGTATAAGAACTGTTATTTTTTTTTGGTTATATGTTATATCTAAGCATGCTAACTGTTTCGATTAATGCCTCCATGTTTCCTTTGCTTTATCTGAAAAGTTAATTTTTTATTAAAAATCTAAGAGTTCAGGAAATCACTTAGATAACATGCAATGCTACTGAAATGTCTTCAATTTGCTGGATTCTTAGTTGCTACATGGTGTTCTTTTAACTATGGGAATTTGAGTTATGCTACTGGTATTAGCGAAGGGATTGGCAAAAAGATCAATTGGTTACTTTTATCTTTGGTTGATAATGGGTACTGCTCTAATAATGCTTTAAAGTGAAATTTGAATGTTTGGAGATTAATCACAGTCGAATCATTTTTTTAAGGACAAAGGGGCAGTTTGGTCAAAATCTGTTTTGGTTGACTTTCAGACATTTTTTTATTTTCGTATACTTGGAGTTTGAATGACATGGATATGGCTTGGTCCCGCCATTGCATCTGTAATTGGATCGATTTGTTCAGGAAATGGTATAATGAAAATTTGATTGAAGGGTATTTATGTCAACAATGTAAAATTAAGGAAAGTTTTTTTTTCTGGGAGTTCGTATCTCTTTGATTCGATTTTCAGTTGAAGTGGAGGTTTTTTTTTTGTAGATTTCATGGGTTTTTTTTGTGGTCCTATTCTTGAATAGATTATCAATGGTAGAAGAAAAAGAAAAAAAATAAGAAAAAGAATTTTAATTGGAAATGTAGTAAGACCCCTCCTCAAAAACTATATTATATATATATATATATATATATATATATATATATATATATATATATATATATATATATTCCTTGGTCCAAAACTACTTAGTTAATCATATTATTAGCACAATATTCTTTCTGCCAGATTATCTTACTTTTTGTTCGACTTTAATTACATTTTCAGGAAAATCTCAACACAAATTGAATTTTAAAATGGCAATGAACTGTCAATACCTACTCCACAATAGCAATCTAGTTCTGACTAAGAAGCACATTTCTATTTTTATGTAGGTATTCAAGGTTTGTTTGAGTTATTTAGTGTAAATATCATTCAAATAAAAAAGTTCTCAATTTATCCACCTAGTGGATATATCTACCCTTACCTAGTGAATTTTAAATGTACGTTACCAATAATATGAATTTATTTACTTATAAGAAACAAAGGAAAATAATTGTTTATTCAATAAACAATAAAGCTGTCTTTTGCAGGTTTTAGACTTTGGAGTGTGTCATATGTTTATTAAATTAAGACATTTGATTTAAGGGTGTAAAACATATAAAGAACACACAATCAAGGACCCCGATTATCTAAGATGATATCATAAAAAACGAACATAATAAAATTAAATATGATAAAGTAACATAAAGACACGTCGTTTTATTGATTATATTGATATGTCTAAATAAATAAAAAGAAATGTGTGATTATCTATAATCGTTGAAGGACCTCCTTGTACACAACATTTTTTGTTTTATTGGTTTAACGACCTTCCTCATCACATATGAGTACCTTCAAGCCTGTTTTACTTGTCACGCGAGATACAGCTACATATAACTGACCATGAGTAATGACCATGAGTAAAGACAGGTCTACGTAAATACAATCCAACAGTTGACAATGACTGCCCTTGACTCTTGTTAATCGTCATGGCAAAACAAACAGCTACGGGAAATTGTCTCCGCTGAAAACGGAAGGGGATTCTTTTATCAGATGGAGTTAACTTCATGCGAGGTATATAAGTAGTCTCATTGAAGAATCTACCAGCTATAATGCGTACCTCAATGACATGTTTTCCAAGCCTAACTATTTGTAACCTTGTACCATTGCATAGACCTTTGGTTTGGTCAATATTACGAAGCAACATGACCGGAACACCTGTTTTTAATGTGAGTTTATGGTTGGGAATTCCAGATGCCTTAAAAGCATTCAATACATCCGGAGAGTAAACTGATTCCTCAAAACAATCTGCTGACTCTGTCTCACATAAAGAATCCGAACTCAGATAAGTTTTCCCTTCGTCTTTCATCAATCCTAACATGTAGTCATTGATAGCATCAACTTCTTCATTTGTAGGAACCAAAATAGCCTTATCTTGAAAATATGATGGGTCATCAAGATGATTTTCAAAAGAAGGATAAATGGTCGATACAATTGAATGAATATGGTCACCTGTAGAGCGAATGATAACATCTTCTGGAAATTCAACTTCAGCTTCACCATCATTAGGACCACCAATATTACCTTCACCAATTTTAAGAATCCATTCTGCAAATGCTTTTGTCTCATCCAAATCATTAGTTGGACAACCAACCTGAAGCCTCATGTTTACCGTTAAACGTAAAACTGTACATTCACTCCATAATCTTGATGAATGTAACGATGCCTGCACAATATCCGAACGATTACCTCTTTGTATTACTGGAAGAATTTGTCTAAAGTCACCTCCAAATACAATGGTCTTGCCGCCAAACGCTTTATTCCTGTCAGATGAACGGATAATGTCTCTAAGCGTCCTATCAAATGCTTCAAAACAATGACGGTGCATCATCGGAGCTTCATCCCAAATGATAAGTCTCGCTTTGTTAAGTAGTGCAGCAAGATCACTGTCTGGCGCGATAGAACAAAATGAATTCTCGGTCAAGTTAATTGGGATAATAAATCTTGAATGCGCTGTCCTACCACCAGGGAGCAATAGTGCTGCAATTCCACTTGAAGCAACGTTGATAACAATTTCACCTTTGGATCTAATAGCAGCAGACAAGGTCTTCCAAACAAATGTTTTTCCGGTTCCTCCGTAACCATAAAGGAAAAAGACACCACCTTGGTTGTTGTTAACCGCATTCATAATGGTGTGATAAACATTTTTTTGCTCGACATTTAATTTGGAATACAAATCTTGATGCTCAACTTCAATAACACCAGGATCATAGTTAAGCTCATCTTGAATTAACATATTGCATGACTCTTGAATGTATCTATGATCAGGAAACGACATATTTGGTATTTGCTTCAAACTCAATCCACAGCTCAATAATGATTTCTCGATGTATGACAAGGTAAGGTTGAAAATTGCATCCTCTTTTAACTTCAAGCCTGAAAATGCAATAGACAACGAAATTAAATATAGTTATAGCTATGTAAATGGCTTATGTTAAGACCTTTATAACGACTATAAATGATGTAATCGCGAGTTGCTTTTTGTCAGTTTTACATGCATAATGTATAAATGATGGAAAACGAACAATTTGTGTGAAAATGGCAAAAAAAAATTGTTGATTATGTTTTATGTCAAATTTTTTCAAAAAGGTCATTTTTAAGCAATATACTTCCGTCCAAGGACCATTTGTATATGAACAATAATTGGGTTGTTTTGGAATCAAATTAAAATGTAGGGGAAAACGAAATTTTAGGGCAATTAATACAAATGCAATTCCTGGCCCTTTAAATATGACCTATTGTTAATTAGTTTGTATCCGTTTTATTTAAAGTTGAAATTAATTGATTTTCTTTTCAAGAAGAAATTAATTAGTTTGAATAAAAAAAACTATAAATTAGTGTATTTACCTCTGACGCCGATTTCTTGTTCACGAACGTGAATGACATCATCAGAAAGACATTGATATGTTTCTTCAAAAACATGAGCAGGACTTGACAAACTATCTGATGTAATCAACATAACAAAGAGAGACCGGCAGAAAGAAGTTGTGGCCCAATGATGTGTTTCGTTTATTGACGAAATGTACTCTCTATCATCATCTAATAGACCAAGTGCATAGCAAGCATCTTTGTAAGAGTCATGTACAATTCCGTTAATTTTCTTGATATCTTCATAGCATGTAGGACCCTTGATTTTGTTCAGCAAAATCCGTAGGTAATAAATGTCACCAGCCTTGGGAGAAACGTGGTTTAATCGACCGAGTGCCTTGGACTTGGTTTTTCTTTTTGTCCATATCTTATCTGATTTATTCCAAACATATTTAGTTGGGAATTCAACGTATGACAACTTTCGTGCATCTTCATCATGCTTGTTACATTCCATCCAAGCTAAAAATTGAGAAGCAGCGACAGTCGGTTTAGAAACAACCTGATTAAGATGTTGGTTTGGTTTAAAAACAACAGGTTGTTTGTGTTCGAGGTGAAATGACAACCTTTCGACAGGTGGTGTTCGATAATGAATATCATACCCAAAAAGCCTCCAACATGCCTCACATGCGGAAATATAACGACAGTTATAGAACTCACCAATTTCGTCATGGTCGTTATTTTCTATTGTTGTTTTTTCTTTTTTGTTGGATCAACAATAGATGCTGTTATCCTATCCGGTCCTTTGTTAATATACTTAAAAAGATACTTTATCGATCCAACTTGGTTACACCACTCTAGATTCATGTGAGCTTGATATTGTTTCATAAGGATCTTATTATATGGAACAACATTCCTGAAAAATCAAGAAAAATGTCATAAACAACATTAAATGATAATTTGAAGTTAACATAGGAAGAACATAAGAAAACATATATAATGAGTAATATGTTTTTATAGATTACATTATCCGTTTAAAAATAAAATATTAGTACCATTTTAATTTAAGTTGTTTATTGATATTTATGTATTTAAACATATAATAATATATTTCATAAAAAGGAAACAAATTTAAGGAATTAAAATTTAGTAAATCATTCAAAAGGATTTGTGTATACCTGTTGTCTAAAGAAACACCTTTTTTAAGGACATTATTTCCATCGTTACGTCTCCGGTAAATAGGATAACCATCTTCATCAATATACGTATGATCGGTATATTCCCTTGGAAATCGTTTTGAACATTTGCCTTTTTTCATACACGGCATAAATGGTTGATCGTTGCCACAAGGTCCGTGTATCATGTTATCACAAACAATCTGATACAAATCGGGTTCACTATCCTTGTCTGGCAATTCAGCACATATAACACGGTCTATGTCTTCAGGATTTGGAATTTTAGAATTTTTTTCCAAAAACAGACATACATGACAATGTGGCAGGCCCCTCTTTTGAAACTCAATCGTATATACAACTGTGTGAGCAAAGAAAGCAACCAGGGTTAAAAGATAAAATTATCAAAAGTTATAATCTTAATGAGTAAAAAATATATAAGATTGATACCTCCAGCGACTTCACCCAAAGTTTTTTCATCCTTCAACTGACTGATTAATGAATCAAGTTTAATTTGAAAATTCGTGTCAGAATATCTGGCCTGTCTTCCGGTTTAAGATTCTCGGCTTCAACAAATCTAATGACTTCTGGCCATTTAGGATTACATGTAAGGGTTAAAAAAAGATCTGGATAACCAAACCACTTAACCAGAGTCATCGCATCTAAGTAGTTTTGTTGCATGTAACGGCTGCCGCCAGTAAAAGAAGATGGTATAATAATACGGTTTCCCATCAAAGAAGCATCTTCAATGCCATCTTCAGCTGCCTGGGCCAAGTTGCGATAAGGTGCCACGCGTAATGTTGGCTGGTTAAACCTAATATATCTAAGTCGTTCATTTTCAACCATTGTATACGAATCAACCAAAAACTGTTGGAATAGTTTTCTTGAACGTAATATCAATGATATTTCATCGGTTCTCTGTTGTATACGATAAGCAAAAAACTCACGCATGGTCAACCTTATTCGTCCATCAGATTCTGGATCTTCAACACCACGATGTAGTATATCGACTCGAAATCCATCTTCGGCATAAGGGAATAATAAAGGATATTGAAGTGCAAGATACTGAGGATGCAACTCATTAATACGTTGAAGTTGTCGACTTTGCGTTTCCAATACGATATCCCTTGAATCATACCCATCAATGTCACCTATAATGAGGGCAGCTACCTCATTTGTGGTAGGAAGATTATACTGCCTACCATCATTTTCTCTTGACCCAATCAATTTCAACCTAATACGCTCTGTTGGATTTGAACCAAAGCGATCACGTGCCATTCTAAATTGTTTAACCAGTGGATTAATGAAATCCAATAAGCCCATCAACTCGTGAATAGTCCAGAACTCAAGAGAAAACGGATTTGCCATGGACTCATTAGATGTGGTCTTTTTCTTCTTATTAGACCTACAATAACATAATCAAAAAAATAATGGATATAAATTTTTTGTAGTAATATATATATATATATATATATATATATATATATATATATATATATATAACACTAATGGAATTATATAATATAGGGTATTAACACACTCGCATGATTTGAATCTGTTTTGAACCTCATGATCTGTATCATATATGTACAACTGGCAAAATCTGGGTGATTCACCCTCTTCGGGAAGTAAGCTGCCTGCAATATGATAATTTTGGCCATGCATTCGATAAACATAAGGACCACCTCCTGAGTTAACGTGTGTGATCAATCTTTCCAGCCATAGATGTGAATGCGAACATCATATTGTATCGACGTATATTCTGTATAAAGTTTTGACTTTTTTCCGAAAGACCGCTATATAAATCAATCAACAACTGAGGTGGGTGAATCAGACTGGGTAGTTCAACTTTTCCATTGTAACAACAAATGGAATAACATGTTTTCTTTAAATCCTTATTTCCTCGAATTGCTTCTCCCTGCCACACCTTAGCTTTACATACTGAGCAAACATATACAGCATCTCCAGAATCCAAATAATTTATAAATAAATAAACAAATTTATGAAATTATATTTGTGGTATGCTTTAAATGTAATAGGGTAACGATTTTTATTTGTCATGACAAATAATTTGTGGTGTGGATATAATACCTTTGCTTATTCCGATATATTTAGTATGATTGTTACCGGTTACATCATTCTGAGCATTTGAAGTAGAAGGAATACATATTTGTGTCTTCTTTTTTGTAGAAATTGGTCTGCCTCTTTTTTTCTTTTCTTTATAGTTAACGCTGGTACCAACTGAAAAATGTGTGACTGTATGTATGAATAAATATATAATAACATCAACTGAATGATGAAGTTGATCATTATTAATAGATAAACGATCAAGTTGAACAATATAGGTACCTGAAGGTTCAACGACATCTTCATTCAACTCAAAAAATAGAATATCTTGTGTATTAAATCGTTTCCGTTTCGTTGTTGTTGAATGAGTTGTGTTGTGCTGAATTGTATCTTGGTTGTTGGAAAAGTCTGGAGGTAATTCGGTAAACTTTTGAGCAACTCGACAATTAGGGGGTACGAAGAAACTATTTTCTGAAAAATGAAAATTTGTATGATAATATAGCGAAATATATAAATAAAATATATGAATTTATACACATAAGCAAATAAAAAAAACAAAAAATGCAATACAAAAGAGACATAACATATAACAAAATGTACCTTTGTGAGAATTTCTTTGTATTGTCTGAGATGATGGTGTTTTCAAAGCATTCGATGAAGAGGGTGAATGAACAAAGAGGAAAAGTATATATAAACATTAAATTAAATAAGATATTAAAGGAAAAAATAGTTAGCCAAATTAGATATTATAGACCTATATGTATTAAAAAGATAGTTATACACAAATTAGATATTTAGACATATATGTATTAAAATTAAATGTTAAAAGTTTATATATTGGAAGTTAAATTGACGTTATATGATTTAAGAAGTGGATGTAAATATAATATAAAGAAATTAAGAATACTTTACCTTGATTTGTTAGGTGTGAAAGTGGCGATCTTGGGGAAATAAATGTGGATTGAACATTCGGTTGTATGATGTTATGAGACGAGGTAGCCTTAGGTAATTCGGAAAGGTTTCGAGCAACTCGACAATTAGGTGGTATGAAAAAATTATTTTCTGAAATGAAGATTCGTATCATAAACGGAGGAGAAATATTAAAAAATATTAATAGTACAACAGATAAGCAAATATAAAAACGAAAGTGTAATATAAAAGATGCATAACATATAAGAATATGTACCTTTGTGGGATATTGTTTGTAATGTTGAATGTGATGATGGTTTTAGAGCATTGGATGAAGATGATGCATTCACTAAGGAAAATGGTATGTATATCAAATATCATATGAAATATAAAGAGAAATGAGTTATACAAATTGAACATTATAAACATTCAAGCACTTCAAATACAAACAGAATGCTTAAATATGAATCTTACCATTTGTGATGTCAGACAGTGGTGTTGTTGGGGAAGTGTTGTTGGGTGACACATTAGTAACAAACCTTGTAGGTTTTTTCTTTCCCGAAGCATTTGAAATGTCAGTCATTTCAATATGTTTGATAATTTTTACGTTCTTAGTCATATATATATATATATATATATATATATATATATATATATAGTGATGATGATGATTTTCTAACACTTTAAATAAGGGACTGGATATTTGAAAGGTTTAAATTTGGTAAAAAATTAATATTGCATATAATTAAATAAAGTAATGAAATATTAGTGGGTTTAACTTAGGTAAAAAATAAAGTCTTCATATAATTATGAGGAAATAAATGCAGTATAGAAAAATTGATTTTGATTACATATTCCATGATTTTATTCTGTTACCATATGAAAACGATGCATATTTATGAATAAAAATTTAAATTTGACTTTAACAAATAAAAGTAGGTGAAATATCATATATAATAAAATATAAATATATCAATATATATATATATATATATATATCTATATATATATATATCTATATAGAAATATATATATATATATATATATATTTTAAATTAGTAACTGAATATTAGATGATTTAAATTAGGTAAAAAGTAAAGCATGCATATAATTATGGTAGAATAAATAAAATATAGATGACTGTATTTTGAATACTTAGACTATGATTTTATTCTGTTACCATATGTAAACGATGTATTTATGCAAATAAAATTTAAATTCCATTTAGAACAAATAAAAGTAGGTGAATTAGCATATATAAAAAAAAATTAATTTTCGTGTGTGTGTGTGTGTGTGTGTATATATATATATATATATATATATATATTATATATATATATATATAATAAATTTTATAAAATCAAATGATGAATGAAAGAAAAAAGAAAGAAAATATGCATTAAATCAAAAGAGTTCAATAACTTGAAATTGTCATAACCCTCCATTGTATCATTGTGTACACCACCAAATAAAAACTCAATAAAATTTTAAAAACAACCAAAAGATCAATAAACAGAGAATTAATATGCGACACACAAAAGATTAAAAAGAAAATGTCTATAAACATCGAAGATGATATGTAAAATTTTGATGGGCGGCTTGATATTAGTCCAACTTTTCCAACTTTGGGATCTTCAAGGTATCCCGTACAGCACAGTTTTTGAAGAAGACCACTCCAAAGAGTCAGCGTTGGCATCAATCTCAATAGGGCGCTTCCCCGTACTCGATGATGGTGTTACAGCTTCAAGGTCAACAACATACCATATTTGCATAAAGTCATGAAAAATGAAAGAAAAATATATTGAAGAGAGGGCACAGGGTTTGACTTTGGAAATATATGAGACAGTTACCAACCTTATTTGACTTGTTAATAGGAGTACCATTATCATTTATATTATCATGTTGATGATTTGGTGACCGTTTTGTCACCTCAGCAAGAACCCTTTCATCATCGGTTAACTTATGCACAGTGTAAGCACGATAGTTGTTCTGCAGATTGAACATGGAAATCTGAACTTTGAAGACAAACTTCTTATTTAGAAGAATTTTGAACTCATCAGGTATCTGTTGTCGCCCTTGATCCTAATTTACATTATAAAATGGTTGGAAAAGTTAAAGAAGAAAATCATATATGTCAATCATTTAAATAACGGAGATATTTTATGAAACCTTAGCTATTTTGTCCATCAACCATTGGTTTCCACGATGAATAAGATCTTTTACATGACGCTCAAACAATACAAACGAAGAAGAGCCACTTTCATCTTGCACACGACTACTATCCTAATCCTAAAATTATAACATAATACTTATATTTAGCTTGACATACACAATGAAATATATGAAAAATGTAAAATACATGCATAGTCAAAGAGATAATAATTACTTACTTTCCAAATACATCCGAGACAAATCCACAACCATCACAGTGAAAAGGGCCAGCATCAACATCATCATCATTTTTAGTAACCTTTTTAGAACAATCACGGCAATAAAATGAATACCAACCATCATCCATATCAAAACCAATGATAGTAGCGATAATGGTTAAACCAACTTCCTGTTTCATATATAGGAAAAAAAAGGAATCATATTAAAATATTATTTCATATAAATTGTAGATATAAAATCAAAACAATAATAGAATGCGGAAACTGTTATATAAAAATGTTAAGTAAACCTCATTAAAATCAGGAATTTCATCAATGTTTTTTTATTTGAAAACGGAGGTAGTAATCATCTGGATTATCCACAACAGTATCTGAGTTGAGCTGGGATGTACGGCTAGAAGACTCAACATTCGTATCCAAAGCATTAAGACTACATAAACAAAAAAGTGATGTTATTCAACAAAGTAATGATTTAGTAAGATAAATGTGTAAAAATGAAATAACATACTTTGATTTGAACTCCAAAATCTGAGGCATGTCATCATTTATATGCAATCTAGACCCAACACAACACATTACCAACTTGAGGCTGACCTGCAGAAAAAAGTAAAATAATATTGTCAGTAATTACTTTGAAGTTGAAATGATAATTTGTTGTAAAAACCACTTACCCCCCCCAATTTTGAGTTTGGCCAAACGTAGCAGGAATAATAACAGGAGCAGTGTCATTATTATGTTGTGAATGTAAGTATTCAGCTTCATTGCAAAACTGCCCCACAAGCGACTGCAATTCTCGTACCACTAAATATGCATGGTGGTTATTAATGAAAGATAAATATAAACGGGGGAATGTGTAATAATAATACGAATGTGTACCTTAAATCCTGAGCAACCAGATTCATTAACCTTTTCTCTCTTCCATACTCAACAATGACTCGCATGGGATCAGTTGACACAACTTCACCTAGAAAATCTATGTGAAAAAATTTAATAATTAGTAATAATAATCCAAATGTGTATTACATTAAAAATGAAGTATAGAAATAAGTTAAACTAACAACATAACATACCAAATGCAACACGAGTGTCAAAGTTCCTGGCTAGCAAATCTGGGAAAGAGATAAAATGATAAGGATCTACTGTATCAACAAAATCATTGGATACACGAACTTTTGTGGTTTTGTAGAAATTGATTTTATGTTTATGAGGGACAAGCATGTATTCGCTTTCATTGCTAGCCATAGCGAAGTTACTGATCTCCCGGACAGCTCCTTCATCGAATAGGGATTCAAATACAGGAATAAGATTTTTTTTTATTGTTGCTTGAATTCTACTTCCCTGTAGGTGACAATGAAAGATAAAAAAGTGTAAAAAAAATATTAAAAAAAGGAACAATAAAGATTTCATTACATAGACTAAAGTTTATTTTTTAAAATAATACAGTTGATTATTAAAATTGTTAAAATTGTATGAATAGAGTAAAAAGCATAACAAAAAACGAATTTCAATTTTTTTGAATAGAATAACATAAGAATTGAAATCTAAAAAACAAATGGTGTAAAACAAGTACCCTCCTGGTCAATTAAAATCATGTCCAGGCTTGCGACCATATTAGGATTGTTTATATAGGTCGGCTTCCAAAGCATGACGACTTTAACACGTATGTTCCAAGACTCTTTAGATGCGTTGATTTCAGCAACCTTATCAAAGACGACCTGATCTGCATTGTTAGATGCCATGGAATACTATTATCTGCAATGGAAGGGGGATAATTGGTTAGAGAGAATTTTGATTTGTAATGAAAATCGTAGACAGTATATTTAATAGGGAAAAATAAATTTGGTTAATGCTGATATCACATAAAGATTTTGGAATGTAATATCATTTCCATACTTAAGATAGTTTTAATTATGGTATGAATCCAAAATAATATCATATACCATGTCAATATAAGGAAATTATATAATAAATATACAATATTTCAAAAATATGGTAGATATCGAAAATAATATCAATAAAGATGGTTAATATATTTTTACA